GCCAGCGGGCTGGCCCACCTACACATGGAGATCGTGGGCACTCAGGGTGAGAGCCCAGTTGGGAATCCTCGAGGGGGAGGCTAAAGCAGGACTGCTCAGGGGGGGCTGATGTGCTGCCCAGCAAACCCTGCCTGAGCCTGTGAGTCAGCCCGGCTTCGGCTGGTCCTTCCTGACCAGAAATAGAGCGGCTGCTTTGGCTGGGAAGTGGGTTATCCTGGCGCTCGCTCCCGGGAGTTATATCACCATTTCACATCCCATCCTAAAATTGGCGCTGCCTGGGTGGGATGTGAGCGCAGGCAGCAGCACCAGCACAAACTCCTGACGTCGGTGGGGCCGCACCTGTGCTGGGACGTGGAGTTCACGTCCCTCTTGAGGCCTCTGGATGCCACTGCATCAGCGGCGCCTCCGGAACGCCACCGGAGCCTTTTCCCACCGCAGCCCTGCCCCGGTCCCTCATGGATCCAAACAGGAAAATGTGTTGCAACACCGGGTTTAACGCCCTGAAATCCGGCGCTGCCTCCGCGCCGGTTCGACAAACGGATTTCCCCAGTTTGACCCTCGCTGCTTTTTGTTTTGCTCTCTTAGGGAAACCTGGGATTGCTCACAGAGACCTGAAATCCAAGAACATCTTGGTGAAGAAGAACGGCACGTGTGCCATCGCTGACCTGGGCCTGGCTGTCCGGCACGACTCCGTCACCGACACCATTGATATCGCACCCAATCAGAGGGTCGGCACCAAACGGTAGGGAAACACACTCAGAGGCATCAGAGTGAGACTGGAAATGCCTGAGCTGCTGGTTGAGCACTGGGGGAATTCTCTGTGTTCAGCATTTCCCAGTGTCTCACAGGGAAATGTGCCCAGGTTGATGCCCAAAGACACATCAGTACCTTCAGTCTGAGAGGGGTGGGCCAGCCACGTAAACCCAGCACCAGGGAGCCTATACCTGGCAACAGGCTTGGCCAACCTGCTCTTGGGAGCCTGATGTGTTTTGGGGACACAAAAACCTCTTTTTACCTCTTTTCCCTTCCTGCTGTTGTTTAGGAGTTATTTTCTTTGCTCTGTTAGACCACGGGGCCCAGTTCTGTTCTGATGGTTGGCTGTGCCATGCAGAGTTTGGTCTGCTGGGAAGTGCTGTGTGGGGAAAACAGATCAGTTACTACCTTCCAGAGAATTCCCTCTCTGAATGAACACGCTGTTCCTTTCTGCCTGCAGATACATGGCCCCAGAAGTCTTGGATGAAACCATCAACATGAAGCATTTCGATTCCTTTAAATGTGCCGATATCTACGCCTTGGGCCTGGTCTACTGGGAGATTGCCCGAAGGTGCAACGCAGGAGGTAACACCTTGGTGTGCTGTGCCATGGGCTCTGCTTGCTCCTGGGTCTCCCTTTGCTGTTGGGGAAGTTTGAGGGAGAGCAGGACTGTGGAAGGACATATCCCTGTGTGTTGCCACTGAGGGAGGAGCAGAGGTGACCCACGACTGCTGCTGAGCCTGGCCAGTGTGGGGACATGGGGGTTGATGCTCCCACTGGTGTCTGGTGTTCCTTTGGATGGATTTTAAGGACATGGTGGTGCCCCTTGGTGGGGGATTTCCCCCAGATCAGTATAGATGTTTTGGCACGTGCAGCTGCAGCACCGTCCCACGTGTGACAGCCCCACTGTCCCACGTGTGACAGCCCCACTGCCACTGAGATCTGGTGACCCTGGCTCCGTGCTGGGAGGTGCTGATCCCAGCCCGCTGACTCTGTTCCAGTTTGGGCAGCTGCATTTTATTTTCCCTGAATTTTTCCTGTAAACCCAAATCCCAGATTCTGCGTTTCTGTTCTAAATAAGTGCAAAGTGTTGACGCATCTCAGCAGTGAGTCATGGAGCCCAAACCCGCCTGCCTTCAGCGAGCTCTGTGGCCGTGATTCCTTCTCCAGGAATTGCATTTTTCCCCCTCTCTGCCTTCCAGGTATCCATGAGGAGTATCAGCTTCCCTACTACGACCTTGTACCCTCTGATCCTTCCATCGAGGAGATGCGGAAGGTCGTGTGTGATCAGAAATTACGGCCCAACATCCCCAACTGGTGGCAGAGCTACGAGGTGAGGTCGGCTTCCATCCTCACCTCCCCTTCCTCTGCCATGAGGAAAGGCTGAGAGAACTGGGATTGTTCA